TAGGAATGGGGAAAAAATAAGAACCAAGATGCAGCATGTAAAAGTACAAGTTCCCAATGAGAAATGTAATTGTGTTGTATACCTAAAATGTACCAATAAAAGAACTTAAGAAAAAAAATTCCCAATGATATTTTCCAGATATAAAAGCTCTCCCATATATGTCCTGAATTATGTTTTGCCGAATTTTGTTGTTACTTGGCCGGGTTAGAACAACTGTTATATGTCTCTTAAAATCTTTACTTAGCCAGCTTATATATCATTATGTAATAGTCTATGAATCAGGATAGTTTTAACTTATCTTTTTCATATGAATTGTTTTACCAAAAATGTATTTTTGCTCACTATTAAATTTTAATTTCCTAGATGGAAAGAGCAGCAAAACAAATACCTTTCATATACTAAAATCTTTGAACTATCTCCTAGTCCCACAAGCAATTTTACTAAGGTATAAAAATCAACAAATTTATTGATAGGTAGGACCCTGCCACGTTTAGAGTGAATATAGGCTTCAGACAACACTCTTTAATTAATAATGCATACCAAAGAAATCCACATTTAATAGTTAATCTCTAAGATTTCAAAGTTATAGTTAAAATAGTTGCCTAAAAGGGCCAGGGATTTAGCTCAGTGGTTCTGCTGCTTGCCTTGCAAGCCCAAGGACCTGAGTTTAATCCCCAGTACCAAAAAAACAAACAAACAAACAAACCACATTTCAATTTAGGGCCAGGGATTTAGCTCAGTGGTTCTGCCGCCTGCCTCAAAAGTGCAAGGTCCTGAGTTCGATCCCCAGTACCAAATAATAATAATAATAATAATAATTGCCTAAAAGAAAAGGGAGTTTAGCCGGGCATGGTGACACACACTTGTACTCATTGCATTCTGGGAGTCTGAGGCAGGAGGACCCCAAATTTGAGCCCAGCCTGGGCAAATCGGCAATTTAATGAGACCCTGTCTCAAAATGAAAAAATTAAAATGGGGGGGGGGGGGCGGGCATGGCACAGTGAAAAGATCCCAGGCTCAATTCCCAACACTGAAAAATAAAATAGAATATAAAAAATAAGAAATAAGAAAATGAAGCCCAACTGACAATGCCTAAAATATATCAGTCTTATATAGTGAGGAATTTATAAGTAATTCATAGAATTATTCATCATTCATAGATAATACTTTTATTTTATTTCAAAGGCTAAGATACTAACACTTCAAATTCAACACAAAGAGACACTGCTCACCTCTGAAGATTTCTGCATATTCTGGAATACAGCATAAGTAATAAGTGAACTTGAACCTATAACACTGACAAACAGATGATGATCATTAAAACAAGACAATAATTCATTTTTGCTATTGATTTTTGTTACAGTTTTATTGACATAATCAATGTAAACTAAACTAAATATTTTTAAAAATATGGAACAGCTAGGCACAGTGGTGCACGTCTGTAATCCCAGCACTTGAGAGGTTGAAGCAGGAGGATCACTGCAAGTCTGAGGCCAGCCTGGGCTACATAGTGAGTTCAGGACCACCCTACACTACAAAGTGAGACCCTGCCTCAAAAAACAAAAACAAAAAGGAATATTTCATGAATTTTCATGTTATCCTTGTTTTCAGGCCATGACAATCTTCTCTGTATAATTCCACTTTTTAATATACGCACTGATGAAGGGGAATTGTGCTACTGATTTTGTAATCAATCAGGCTGACCAGGTTCTCCACTGACTTCAGATCTTATCCCTCAATCTGTTTTTGTTTCTGTTGTTGATGTCATGACATTTTATTAGAAAGCATCAACACAGTAAATGATATCATTTCTCTCTAATCAAAGAATAATATCAAGTCCCTAGGGGGAAAATGTAAAAACTGGAGGAGTCTCCAGTTGTGCTCATATCACTTTAAACAGTCATGTTATACAAGATTAAATAAACATACCTTAGAATAGCCATGACAAATTGTATCCACTGAATTGCAGAAAAAAACTAAGAAAGAAAAGAGAGAAAAATTAAACCTTTTACATTTAATATTCAACCTAACCCCAACTTCAGTATTTTTTAACCATCTCCCCAACACAAATTCTTCTTCAAAGTCCAATCAAAACATATTACAAGTCTGAGAATGAGTGAAAAGGCCAAATAGGCCTCTGGAAAGGCAGAGTGGCTCCCTTTTCCATCTCCTATTCTTACTTCTCTGGAAAATAGTAAAATAAATAGAGGTGGATAGAAAATTATTAGATGAAAAAAGATAATTGAATGAGAAAACTGAAAAAGGAGGAATAAAGAAGAAGAAGTAGAAAAGTTGAATTTTGAGAGAGAACAGAGAAACCCATAGAAAGAATGGGTAACATGAAAGACAAATACTAAATAAGGCCGACAGCTGGAAGGGAAAGTCAGACAATAATGGAACAGTAAATGACACAGAACAGAAAGAAAAAAAATCAGTAGCATGATGAGAGATACTGTGAGTAAAAATATAGAACAGAGAGGAAGAAAGAGGGAGCAATAAAGAAGAGTTGGCCAGCTCCTGACCTTACCAAGTCCCACTTGTCCTCCAGAGTGCTAACCTCCAATGGGAAGGCCATGGGGACTTCAGTCCCAGCTAGCGGCAAGCAGCTCAGATCCTTCTTAGTCAGGTTCTAAACCAGCAGTGAATAGGTAACTCCACCCCTATCACAGTGAGGCTCCTCCCTACCTAATTCTGCACTGTACCTTGAGGGCAAGGAGTGAGATGACCTCAAGAGGAGGAAAAAGGCTGAAAGTCCACAAATAGAAAGAGCAGGTGACCAGGAAACAAAGCTGTACCAAGGATTAGGAATTATAAAGAAACAGAATGAATAACAGTGAAAAGATAAACACAGCTGTAAGAGGGAAATGGAGAGAAGCAAGGTCTGCTTTAAACTTGTCCCTATTTCGAGACAGAGCCTATGATAAAGAGATTTCAAATTCAATTAATAAAGTATTAGTAACACTAATGAAAAGCTAGGAAGAAAGGAGATTATTAATGTTTATCATATTTAATACTAACATCTTTTAAAATATTCTGAATACAAAATATCACTCAAAATATAATTATATTATTAAATTACAGTATTCATTTAATATGCTTATGCTTAAATATCAATGTTGTGCAAAGCAGTGTGCTATGGAAGATTTAAAGATAAATAAGACACAGACTCAACTTTCCAGGAGCTTGTAATATAATAGGAAAAATGGCTTCAATGCCAAAAACTCAATCAGTGCTTGCTTCAGCAGCACATATACTAAAATTGGACGCATACAGAGATTAGCCTGGCCTGTGTGCAAGAATGACATGAAGGTTCATGAATCAAAAACTCAAATGATCTCAATAACAGCAATAACGCACACAGAGTAGCACCGAACAGGATTTGTTAGTAAAACTCAAACAAAAAGCTGGGGAAAATGAGCAGAAAGGAAGAATACTCATTTATACAATCATTCATCTTAATCTAATCATACTTTCATATATTCTAAAAATACTTTTTCTTTGTCTTTTGTGGGGGGTGCACTGGGCATTGAAACCAGGACCTCAAAAATGCTAAGCATGTGCTCTACCACTGAGCTAAAACACCAGCCCCCAAATATTTCTTTCTTTTTTGGCTACCAGGGATTGAACTCGGGTCCTTGGGCTTGCGAGGCAGGTGGCAGAACCACTGAATTAAATCCCCAGCCCTCCCAAATATTTCTTAATAACATAAATTAGATCATTTGCATGACTAGAGTGATTTAAGCATATGATATTTATATCAAATTAAGATCATAGTCTGGAGTGAAAGACCAGACAGACATTGTTAAATGGAAAGTTTTAATAACTTTTGCATAAATTATTAGATAAATAAAACACTAGATTTCTGGATCAGAAACATTTCCAGCAACAGATTGTGAAGAATATTTTGAGGTCACCAGTCATATCTCTATCTAATAAGAGTGAGGAGAGTAGAAAAAGCCTCACCAAGTGATAAGAACATGCTTTTGAACAAAAGACTCTTGTCTCAGTCCAAAACAAATCTCAAATTCTTCAGAGAATAGCCATGCCAAATCAATTTGCTGCTCTTGATAACATAATCATCTTTGGAGAATTTTTCTCTTTGGCATCTCTTCTAAAATGTCTATGTCACCTACCAAGGTTTGGCGATTTACTTTTCAATTTTTCTCTAAATTAATCCCCTACCATCTATATATTCAGCACTTTTCCCATCTGAGTATCTTTGGAAATATAATCTTGCCATCTTTTTTTTTTTCCTACAAGGGCTAACCCAAACTCAAAGAACAAAGGAGGTGATGTTTATTTTTTGTTTCACTTTTCCCTTTCTTTCTTTCTTTTTTTTTCCATTAAGTTTACTGGTACATTTTAGGTATACAATACAGTTACATTCATCACTGGGATCTTGTACCTTTACATGATGTATCTTGGTTCTTGTTTTTTTCCCCATTCCCTTTACCCTCCCTTCACCCCCTCCACCCTTCCCTATTTACAGACTTTGTTTCCATTTTTTTTCCGTTTCTTATATTTTTTCTTTTCCCTTCTTTCCTTTCCCCTACACTTCCCACTTCCCCTACTCCTTTAGATGTTTTCTTCCTATTACACAATATCAATTATACATTTCTAATTACAATATCAAGATTTAGAGGACATTACCACAGATTTTACAGAATTTGAAAGGATATAGAAAGCATATTACAAAAATCTTTTTTGAAATAAATTTGACAACTTCTAAGAACTACTTTGGAAGACAAATTAATGAAACTGACTCTTAAAGAAATATAAAATTTGAGTAGCAGCTATTAAATAAAGTATATTCCTAGCTTGAAAACCTACCTGTATAACAACAACAGGCTCATAGACATTTAAACTGATGAACTGTATCAAACATTTAAAGCAGAAAAAAGAAGGAACACTTCTCCCCTCATTTTAGGAGATCAACATTGTGCTAATTCTAAAACTGAATAAAGATAATAGAAGAAAAAAGTATGAACATAGATAAAAATTTGTTTAACAAAACAAACTATTAAAAGTCAGATCTGGCAGTATGTAGAAAGTGGTTTTATTATAGGGATGGCAGTGTTGGTTCAGCATTGGAAGATCCACCCCCAGAAG